CTAAAACATTACCCAAATACTAGTTCTTTTGAAACTTCAAAATAAGGATATACTCAAATAATATACTCCAATTCTTTGAAATTTAATTTAAATGAAAATCTAACCTCAAAATCAGAGTCTTTTAGTCCTTCTGGATAGTGACAACTGTTAGAATTATCAACCTGAAAAATAAATGCTTCTTATTAATGACAGCTTCCAAACAATGTCAATTAAACATACTGAGATCAGCAATCCAACAACTATTAAGAGTTTTTCTTCTTCATTGGCCAAAAAATAAAACATGTTAACTTTTTAATCACCTCTGTTTAGAACATTGCAAATGTATGCCCTGTTTTCTATAGTAGAATGAATTGTCAACATAAGGTAAAAAAAAAAAAAAATTAAAATTAAAATAAAAAATAAAAAAATAAAATGTGTTAAACATTAAAAAAAAAAGAGAGTTTTTCTTCTTCAAATAAGTAACTTGACACCTAAACAAATTCTATTTATATACACCCTGATTAACTGACCTGTTCAAGCAGTGGCAAAAAGTTAACTTTTTGTAAGGCAGGATCTGCAAGATAAAACATAACTGATAATAAATATTCCAACTTTTTATTTTTATATTGAGTACACACCAGCTTTACTGTGAAAGATAGCAATATACTTATGTTTCACTTTCAATATCTATCTAAAACACACAAGCAGTTTTCACTACTTTTTCAATGTCCTACCTGAATCAATGTTTTCCCCATTTTTGGAGAGATTAGTCATCACAAATGGAAAACTAAAATCATCTTCAATACATTTGTTGAAACTCTAGAAAGACAAACAAGTTCTTAAATGTACTTTTCCATAGCATTTTGATATTACTTATACAGATAAGTAATATAGTTTGGCCTAAAGTGTTTAAATTACAGAACCTTTAAAACACATAATAGTGCTTAAAATATCAAACACTTTTTCTTCACAAGTGAATCAAAAAAAATTTTTTTATTGATTACATTGCATTATGTGACACAGTTTTATAGGCACTGGGATTCCCCCCTCCGAATCAAAAATATTTTAAGCAGGTACTTTCACCTATAAAATGAAAACAAACTATAAATTACTCAATATGTGTTTGAGAATATTAGTAATTCTAATTAAAAGTATGGACTACTGCCAGTCTTCAATTTTATTAGGACCTTTCCCTCAAAAGAACCGAGAACTGTCTTAAATGAATAGCATTTAAACACTTTGCTAAAGCCCTAAGAAATTTTTTAAAGCAGCCAAAATTAAATATTTACTGTATCAATCCACTTCCAATATAAAGTACCTAAGAAATTTTAATTATTTCAGAAGAAAAGTTTTCTTTCATCTGAGAAGTTTGGTGCAATTCCTCCTTTTCAATGAGAACTCAACTTTACCCTGTCCACCAGGGTAGTTTTCCTCTTTACCACCAACTTTACCAACTTTACACTGTCCACCAGGAAGCTCAGATGAAAATCTAAAGCAGTCACTGCACACTAATTATTATCCCTATGTAGACAATAGCCAAATAGTTTTAATTTATCTGAGGAGATTTCCTAATTTTCTCCCAATTTACATTTTATTATTGCATTGTATGTCTTTCAAATTACACCAAATCATTTAAGAGAATTAAACTATACAGAAGTCCTATTACGTGTACCTTTATTCAGAGACAGTAATTTTTTTTTAACAAATACTGAGTACACACAATAACATCCATTATTCAAAGCTATGCTATTCAATATTTTTTGGGTAAACAGTACCACATTTACTACTAGGTGGAAGATAAAACATAACTGAAATAAAGAAACATTCTTCTGCTTCGTTTCCCTGAAGGTAAGAACAGTCAGCCCAAGGTCAACGTCACCTTGTAGAAGCTGGAGTCTCCTCCCAAGGTCTGGGGTTTCACTGCCGACACTTGGCTGCTGCTTAGCCTTGGGGGGACAAACAACTTAAAAGGCTTCTGCTTTTCCATTTTGTTCCGCTGTTCCTCGGCACCTATGGAACCAGGAGGAAAGGGGCGTGTTTCACACCGTTCCATTACCATGCAGTTACTTATTTATAAAACGGCGAGAAAAGTGGGTATACCTGAGTGCTTCCAGAAATTTCGGCGACCCCGCCCCCTTAAAATCCCCCCACCCCAGCGGGTGTCGCACTTCATTTGGTCTACCTGGGTGCTTCCAGAAATTTCGGCGACCCCGCCCCCTTAGAATCCCCGTAGACGGTTTTGAGCTTCATTTCATCTACCTGGGTGCGTCCAGAAATTTCGGCGACCCGGCTCCCGTGGAATCCCCCCGCGGGCGTCGCGCGTCCTGCGCCTCCCTTCCCCCAGCGCGCCCCGCCACCGCTGCCCTCCCAGACCAAGTGGCCTCCCCCTCGCCCCGGGCGGACCTGGCCCTCGGCGCCCTCTGACAACCACGGGGGAGACGGAGGCGGGAGGGCTAGGCCAGGAGCCGCACCCCTCCTCATGCCAACCCTGGGTACCGCTTCAGAAAGAATTCGGCGTTTTGTTTTTTGTTTGTTTGTTTGTTTTTACCTCAGAGCGAGGAAACTAAGGGCTCGGTGTCCACACCAACTGTTGCCTTATGTTGGCGTCATAAAGAACCCCGAACTTTGGCCTCGGAACCCCACAGAGAGCGGAGAATCCGTCCACGCGGTCCGAAGGGTGGGACTGGACCGTTGGCGGTTTAACGGCTAAATAACGGTCGTCGGTGCCCGCTGGTCACGCCAGTGAAACCTAGTCTCGCGAGATCTCCTTTGAGTTCTCGGGATTCTGTTCCTGTAGACAGCGGCACTCTTTGAATTTAGCCTGTTGTCAAGAAATGCCGTGAATGGCGTCAGGAGCTATGATATAGCGCAAAGTCTAAAATCTGTTTTCTACACTCTGAGGGTTGACAGTCTTCGAAAAACACACGTGCGGACAAGCAGCCCCATCGCTGTGCAAGCATTTAAAGAGGCCGTAGGAAAAATGGCGCTCAGCGTGGCTTGGGGTGTCAGGAGATGCTTCACGCTTGTGTGACCGCTCCGAGCGGTGCAGAGGAAAAATGAAAGGCATGTTGGCCCACAGTCCGTAGGGACACAGGCCGCCCAAGGCCCTGGAGCCGAGGGATTAGTCCAGTGAATCCACCAAGTGTGGCGTGGGTGCCTGAGGTCCAAGTAGGGAAAATGGCGAGAGATGGCGTTACATGCTTCCAGAACAGATGAGAAGGACTGAGGACGGCATAAGATTATCAGGCGTTAGGGATGAGGGCTAGGGTGGCAAGAAAGATAGTTTAGGCTTATCTAAAAGAGAAATAGTTGTGAGAAATAGTTGGAGATGGGGAGAAACCGTCAAATGGGAAAGATGTGTAGGAAATGAAATCCATAGACTTTAAGGGCTTCTTAGTAAACGTATGAAGAGAAAGGCGTCTCGATGATGGCCTGGTTTTAGGCCTGGGTGTCACAAATATATCATTATCATGCAAAGTCCTGGGATCCATTTGGAATATACACTTAGATTTTTTTGTGTGCAGATGTCAAAAACCACTTTATTTTGTATAAATTCGTCAAACAGAATAGTTTCTGATAAAGATAAAAATCTCTCTTTCTGGAACAGATGATTAATTTGTCTCCTCTATTTTAACGAAATTGAGTCAAGACTCCTTCAGATGGCATTATGGCGGGCGGGGTAAAGCTTCGGCCTTCAAGGCTGGCGTGTGGTGTGTCTGTTCAAGTACCTGCTAGTGATCCCCCTCTGCGCTGATGATGCAACCGGAAAGCAATGGAAGGTGGCAATACCTGAGCCCCTGACATGCAAGGGAGAGACCAGGATGAAGCTCCTGGCCGGAGCTCCAGCCTGGCTCATCTCACCCATTGCCGCCATTTGGAGAATAAACCAGTGAAACAAAGACCTTACTTCCTCTCTCCGCTCCCCCTCTTCCCTCCCTAACTCTGCCATTCAGATAATGAATCAATCTTGAAAGAAAAACAAAAATCCTAAAAAGTAAAAGATGCTCCCACGAAGAGATTCCAAGAATACACACAAGCAATTCTCTAGGGATAATAATTGAATTGATATATTTAATGTTTTCAGTTTTGGGGTGTAAATTCAATATTCATATTTTTTAATGTTATAATGGTGAAAACTTGATTTTTTTTCATTTATTGAAAACCAAACTTTATTCCCAATGATGATAAAAACTTAAATCCATAGTTTACATTTACTTATATCCAGGCTTTTATTTGGGGGGGGGTTGTTTTTTGTTTTTGTTTTTGTTTTTTTTGCTTTCTTTTTTATTTATTTTTATTAGGCTTTTAAAATAGTACCACCACAAAATATCTCACTTTCATGTATTCACAAAAAATTTATTTTCACGTATTACTATTCCAACAAAAGGCTAAATACTTATGTGAAGAGCTCAAGTTTAAAGAGCATTATATTCCCTTTTTTAAAAAATGGAAAAATATCAACATTTATGCCAACTTTTATATGTTACAATACTTAAATGATTGATTATCTTAATGTCTTTAGCATATTTGCATCACAAATTGCCTAATCTAAACTTCTAAAATCTTCTTTAAAAATTTCTATTTTTAAGACATTAAGAGACTTGTATGAAGCTTTACTTTCCTCTAATACTTCGTAAAGTACTGAAACAAGAACACATTTTAAAGTGTTAGCTCAACTGCTTCTAATGGCTAGCCTTTTCTTGTCTATAAGTAATGTGTACATTTTCATTCAATTTTCCACTAAATGAAATGTCTTTCAGTGAGAACTCTATGATTTCTTTTGAAGAAACCCTGCAGAAACAATAACCATTGCTTTTTTTAAAATCCAGTCTTGAAGATTATCCCAGCTGGACCTCTAGTGATAGTTTTATATTCAGAAATTTAATTGGCGCTAACAGTCTGTTTTGTGGTGACATATTATACCAGCAATTCTATACATGCTTTTTTAAAAAAAAAAAAATTCTATGATGATAAACAATTTAGGTTAGAAAGTTTAAGACAAACCACAACATCCTAAAATTTCAACAATATGAATACAAATTCCATTTCTCAGACAAGGAAGCAGTCAATTTGGGATTCTTTGTTTTCCAATTGCTAAGTATCTCTGAGTGGTTGTGATTCAGTGTTCTCAGCTCAGTGAGCTTCCCAGTGAGGCGAGCAAAATGCTGTAGGTCTTCCGGGTGATAAATTTTTGAATATTTGTACAAAATTTGTAAAACTGGTTCTTGCAAACTTTCCACAAGTTGCTTATTTTTAATGCATGGGCGATCTGAAAGACATCATGATCATTCATCTTAATGTATACTAGGCAGTGATAAAAGAATGAATTCATTTAAAATGCAATTTTAATCATGAAAGTACAAATATTTAACAAATGACTAATCCATGTTATATTGTGCCAAGTAATTTGCCTCTATGTAAATAATTTAATATTCATAATACTTGATAAAGGCAGTTAAACTATTAGGGAATTAGTAAACTAATAGAAATTGAGTCACAGAAGAGAGAAAGGTCAGTAATTATTTGAGAATACAAGAGTCCAAAAAGCCCATAGAAATGCAAATTATAAAAGAGCTCCTCATGGATTTCATTTTTTTCACCAAGGTAAAAGTACCTTTTAATTCCATTTGCCATAAACTATTCAAAGTACCTCATATAAGAACAACTATATCATAGTTGAAACTTAAACAGAATAATTTCCTGAAGGTTAACAGTATCTAGCTGTAAGATATAAGAGCCAACCAAGAATTTCTTCACAGTTTATTCTTTATGTCATTGTGATAGAGAAGCCAGAATAAATATAATAGACAAAATTTCCTCGCATTCCTTGAGCTTCAGTTCTGGGTCTGGGAAGATGGGGAGGAAAATGACACACATTTTAAAAGCAAAAGTACAGTGTGACAAGTTAAAGAACTGCTAAGGAAAAATAAACAGGGAATGGGGAAAGGATTTAAGGGGGAAGGGGCAGTAGCTATTTTTAACAGATCAATCAGCAAGAAATTTTATTTAACAGATAACACAGGGGGTAAAAGATGGGGCCATGTAACTACCTGAATAAAGAGCTTTCCAGGCAGGAGCCTTCAAGGCACGTCTGTGTCAAAAGTAGTGGGTCGGAGACCCTGAAAGCCAACGGGATAGTAATAGCTAGTGATGGGGGAAAGAAAAACACCTTTGGCTTTAATATGCATATAGGAAGCCACTGAAGGGCATAATCAGAATAGATTTTGCAGGTAGAACCAACAGTATTTGTTGCCTATCTGATATGGATACATAAAAGCGGGAAGAAGTTAAGGATGCTTTTGGATTTTACAACTTTGAACGATGGAGAAATTATAAGATGAGGGAAAAACTCGCAGGCAGGTGGGACATGGCTGGGGAAAAATAAAAATTCAGCTTTGAGCATAGTAAACTTAAAACACCAAATCTAAATCTTTTTTTTTTTTAATTGGAAAGACAGATATACAGAGAGTAGGAGAGACAGAGAGGAAGATCTTCCATCCGATGGTTCACTCCCCAAGTGGCCGCAATGGCTGGAGCTGAGCCAATCCTAAGCCAGGATCCAGGAGCTCTTCCGGGTCTCCCACACAGGTGCAGGGTCCCAAAGCTTTGGGCCATCCTCCACTGCTTTCCCAGGCCACAAGCAGAGAGCTGGTTGGGAATCAGGGCCACCGGGATTAGAACCGGCACCCATATGGGATCCCAGTGCATGCAAGGCAAGGACTTTAGCTGCTAGGCTATCGCACTGGACCCCCAAATAGAAATCTTGAGTGGGCAACGTAATGAGGTTCTGGAGAAAACCACAGGTTAGTATATAAATTTGGGAGGGGCTAGCAAGTATATGGCCTTTAAAACCATAATATATGAAGGAATTGCAAAGAAGGAAAGCATAGAACAAAGAGAACTAGGCCTAAAGACTATCTAACATTATCACTGTAGGAGATAAGGCAAAATAAAGAAAGAACACAAGAGAATAGCTACTAAAGAAGAAAACTGAAATCAGTTCTATGGCACAGGAGTTAAACCACCAGCTGCAACATCAACATTCCATCTTGGAGGCTCCACTTCCATCCCAGCTCCACACCAACGTACCTGGGAAGGTAGCCAAAGATGGCCCAAGTTCTGGGGTGCTGTCCCACACGTAAAAGACCTGGTAGAAGCTCCTGGCTCACGGTATTGCAACCATCTGGGGAGTGAATCAGTGAATGGAAGACCTCTCTCTCTCTGCCTCTCCTCCTAAGTCCTGTAAGTCTGCCTTTCTAATAAACAAGATCTGAAGGAGAAGTAGGAGGAAGAGAAAAGAGAGGATAGAGTGTTAGAAACCAAATGGAAACAAAATTCACAAGCCGGAGGAGGTGGTCAGCTAACGCCAAAAAGAAGGTGTATTAAGAGATAAGAAGTTATCTACCCTGCCAGAATAACCAAAGCATCAAGTGAAATGAATACTAAGAATTAATCACTGGGATTAGCATACCAACATTCAGAAAATACTGACAGGTTACTGTAGAGTGGCGAATAGGGAGCAAAATCTGACTATAGGCTATAGGGTTCAGAAGTGCATAGACGAACCAGAAACAGGAATATGGACAAATTGTCCTTGAAGAAATTTGAACATGGCCATGAGGTCAGGAAGGCATTTTCTTAAAAATCCATATGTTTATTCAAGATTCAGAATAAACAACAGAGCTCCCAGGTGGTGATTAACTCCCTAAATGCCTCCTACTAGCCAGAGCTGGGCCAGAGCCAGAACCAGCAACTCAATCCAGGTCTTTCAAGGAAAGTTCAGCTACTTGCTGTTACCTGCTGCCTCTCAGGCTCTGCACGGGCAAAAAACTGGAGTCAGTAGCAGAGCCAAAATTCAAAATCAAGGACTCCAATCTGGGATGGGGACAGCTTAACCATCAAGCCAAACGTCCACCCCATGGTGTGTTTTTTTTTTAAGTTATAGGAAATTATGATATATTCTTAAGTGTAAAGAAGTGGTATTATTAAAAAAGGAAAATGATAAAACAAACTTAGTACATTTTTCTGTAATGAATAACGTAACCACAAGCTTCTTGTTTTGCCAAATTTAATACAGACTTTTCCTAATAAACAGCTTTTACCTGAAAAGAGCACAATTGTTGCTGTAAGTAGAGCATATTCAGTACTAGATACATTAAGTTCACTCATTCTTCTATAGAAGTGAAACAATGAGGTGATAAATTCTCCAGTAATGCCTAGAAAGATTAGTGTAAAAACATATTTTCTTCAGAATATGCATAGAATCAAACATATTGCACCCAGCATTTTCTCAAAACACTATAAGAAAAAGGACTCCTGACCAAATTTTTCCACCCAACATAATATTTTATATTGCATGTAGCATTACCACTTAAACTAGTAGAAGGACAATCCTCATTGCAAATTTTTTCTGTAGAATAAATAACACTTCTAACATCCTTCTGACTGGGAAGATTCAGCATATGTGCTGGATAGCTTGACATTTTCATAGCACCTAGTAAAAAAGGAAATATATGATGTATTATTCTCATAAAGACAATAAATTTAGTCTCTTTACAATTCAGCATAGCTTTTGGATGGAAAACATTCTTAACAAATGGTAGCTTTGTAATTTTTATTACTTAAATGTGGCCACACTTATGGTTTATATTTTACATATTTTGTGTTTTTTATGATACCATGTAATAGTTTTCTTCAAAAGAAAAAAACTATTGTATTGGAAAAGCTCTTTTAAACAGCTCTTACGAAGTATGTATTTCTATATTAGCCAGTAAAATGAAAATTTAAGAACTATAGGTCAACATTATATAATTTGCTGCTAAAGTTAATGGTAACATAAAGTGGAAAGGGAAGGCTTTTTTACTTGCAGAGTCTGATTCTTTCTGACCGTACAGCTGAGCTGCGTGAAGGAACATCACTTCGGTTTTTGACCCTGTCTGTAATGCAGTCTGATCTTCACTCGCCAGATTTTCAAATCCTGAAAGACAATGAACAAATCAATTGATACATTATTTAACATTTTAAGTTATTTAGGTGTGACTACTAAGTGCTTCCTTAGAGTAGTTATGTTATATAACTTTAAATCTGAGCAAAATTCATGATTCCATACCGTAATTTTGGAAGCACTTCCATCAAAACTGGATAATTTTTTTTTTGCAATGACAATAGCCATTTAAAGATGGTTAATTTAGCCTTATAGTATTTGCTTTATGTCAATGTTTTATCTAAATATCACAATGCAGCCATTTCAAAGAAATGAAATGAGATTTTTGCTCAATAGTAGTATATTTTTATACTTGCTAAACTCAATATTTAGCAGGGCTTTAAGCCTATCAGTATACAACAAATTAAAAATATGGTATCACATTGCTTCTCAGCCTTTTGGCTAAGATCAAGTGTCAAAATATGCTATCACAAAAATCAAAAAGAAAGGAAGAGGGGATTGGAGAGAGAAAACTATCGATATATTGTTAGGATTGTATTTATGAACTACAAGAAATCCATTTTTATTAATAAAAAATAAATTATTAAAATATCTAAAATCCATAAAGCAAATCATATTGTTTGCTTTAGCTCTAAGTCATTGAAGGCACTTGAATAAAATTTTTAAATATTTAGATTTCGCCAAGCTGACTAATTAATGCAGGCAAAATAAACACGGTTTTCCTGTTAAAAGAAGTTTTGATAGAAAGAAGGAGTTTTTACTTCCTAAACTGTTTGCTTCTGTTAAAACAAGGAACTTTTTAAAATTTAAATATTGTTTTAATTTTTTCCAAACGTAATTATTACCTGGGAGAGCCTTGGTAAAATCTATTAATCCATGTATGTGTAGCATTGCTGTCTCTGAGAGTTGCCAAAAGTTCAATTCAGGATTTGCATGTTGCTGCAGCTGACCCACAAAAAAAAAAATCTATATATATATATGATTAAATAATACATTAGTTCATAGATTCATACATATAACAAATTTTTAGTAAATTAACACATTTTCTTTCAAATAACCATTGAAATTTTAAACTTATATTTGTACTCTGCTCTCTTAACATAATAATGTAGTATTTGTTGCCAGTTTTGAACACATACACATTTCTTTGTTTCCTCTAAAGGAACCATGTATTTTTGATGAGCAACCACAATGGTATTAATAAGCTGACGTTCCTCTTGAGTTAGTTCCATGCTCTCCTGAACCTGCAAGAACACATGAGAACAATTGAAAACAGCCTGACAGTAGGATGCTGGATTCCCCAACATCACCCATGCCTACAGTGTCGGGAGGCACTAAAATAGCAGAATGATGGACTTATGACTGTTCATGAAGGACCACCCCCTATAATACTAGAGAGGAGAACAATAAGGGAGGAGGGGACTTGAGGAGGGGGAAAGGAAAGTCCGAGAGCCTACAAAACTGTATCACAAAATGATAATAATAATCTAAAATGAAAAGAATACATGAGAGGAAATCTGTGACATATACTGATTAAACAACTTTTATGAAAAGTCCTGCTACTTTTCCAGATCTTGTGGTGGACGATACAAGTCTGTTGTCTTCCCCTTCCTCTTCCACTTTGATGTTATTTTTAGAGTAAAAACATTTCTTCTGCTTGAAGTTCTTTCGAAGTCTCTTTGATTTACATTGGATTTCTGTAAGCAAGCCTGTGATATAAAAGTCATATTAACTGCTTTGAGCATGACAAACGCTAGTTTGGATTTCATAAAACTGTCTTGCATGCACATATGATCATGGGCTTGTCTTTTTTACAAAGAAGCCTTCTTTGAATCAAATGTGTACAAGGCAATTACAGTTACTATATTATTTTCTTCCTTTATTTCCATAACTATTTTGCCTACTTAAAAGTATAAAGTCATCGTAAACATATGTTAAAAATTACTTTTATCAAAAAAAAAGTGAAGGAAAGAAGGAGGAAAGGGAAAGGAAGGGAAGGTGGGAGTTAGAGAAGGGGAGGAAGAAAAGGACACAGGGAATATAAAAAACAGAATTTTGGTATAACAAAGATGTAAATTACATATACAGAAGAATAGTCTTATTTATGAAATAACATATATAGGAAGAAAGCATTTATATATTTATGAAGAAACTTGTGATTTTTAATTTCCTCTAACACTTTTTCTCTGTGAAGTTTAATTCAATGTATTTAAAACATCATTAAAAATTCTAAAAACACAAAAACAACTTTTTCTTCTAATTATAAATTTAGACTTTGATTTACAGTAATTTCCATATCAATTATATCTTATATGCAATATAAAATGCCATGCATATAGAAGTTTGACACTTTTATCTCTGATTTTTATAAAGATAATATCCTGTAATTATTTAAATGAGCTAAGTGATTTTTCTTTATAAATAAAAAGGAAATGTTTGTTTTTAAATAATATTTTCTTATTTTATTTTTAATATCGCTTACACAGTAGAGAGAGATGCATACCCATGTGGGTCCCCAACTAGGGTTGGAAGGGTTGAGGTATGGAGGAAGGTGAGTGAGATAAATGTTTCAGTTCTTTTCCTTTTATTCTCCTGGTCTGCTGGGGTGAGGTGGGAGAGAGGAAAGGGGTCCACTCCTTGCTGTCAAACTACATCAGCACCTGGGAATGGGGGATACTCATTTGATGATGTCTTAGAATCCCTGCTATGAGGAAGAATGTTCTAAGGATGTTACTTCAGTGGTTTTGATAGTTCTGAGAGGTCATTGGCTTTGTTGCACCAGGGCAGGGCAATCTTTCCAAAGTCTACTGGCGAAGCACCTCAGTGTGCATTCATAGACACAGGAACATATTGCAAAGCAAGGCCAGGAGAGTTGTCCAAACTGTTATGCTTTCCATTCTCTGATGAGGGACTCAACATCCTCTGTTGGCCTAGATGAGCTGGCTGTAATATCCCTTGTGTGCATCTGGGCATGCTGTCTACTGCAAAGGCATCAGCAACTCAGGAGGTCCAACCCTGATATATACTCTCCAAGACTGGACCACACGTCCTGTGATTTTCCCCATGCCAGCTTGAGGCCAGAAAACCAGCTGGGGAGACCCCCCAGGAACTCTCTCCTGAGGTAACCCTGAACTTGATTCCTGTGTACACCAGATAGTGCAGGGGAATGCTTGTTTTATAAAATAAACATGTTTTTGTTGTTGGCTTATTGCCTTTTGCTCATAAAACTGTTATGTCTTCAACTGACACCTCTACGTGAATAGGAGCAGCTACTGTAAAACTACTACTAAAGACACTTAACAGTTAATATTTATCTTTTGTTACATTTGTAATTTTTTAAAGATTTTATTATTAGAAAGATATACAGAGAGAAGAGACAGAGAAGAAGATATTCCCTCTGTTCACTCCCCAAATGACTGCGATGGCTGGAACTGAGCTGATCTGAGCGAATCCAGAGCCAGGAGCCTCTTCCGGGTCTCCCACGTGGGTGCAGGCTCCCACTGGGATTAGAACCGGTGTCCATATGGGATTTTGGTGCATACAGGGCGAGGACCTTAGCCACTAAGCTATCATGCTAGGCCCCTGCTCTATAATTCTTTCAAATAAGTAAATAAATCATTTTTTTTAATAAAAGGAAAATGCCACTAGGATACTGTGCCAAGTGCCATTTGTAATTTTAATGAATATTTAAAGCATGTGTATTCTATTTAAAAAAAAAAAAAAGGACTCCATCAGGAATTGATTTTAAAAAAAGAGCCAACCCCATTTCTAAATAATTTCATCATTTTATTAGGAAGTGAGAATATAGCATAATATGAAGCCATTTAAAACATTCCAAGTGGGCCCAGAGTGGTAGCCTAGCAGCTCAAGTTCTCACCTTGCCCGCACTGGGATCCCGTATGGGTGCCTGTTCTAACAGGCTTCCCATCCAGCTCCCTGCTTGTGGCCTGGGGAAGCAGTGGAGGACAGCCCAAAGCCTTCGGACCCTGCACCTGCACGAATGAAGTTCCTGGTTCCTAGTTTTGGAGCAGCTCCGTTTGCAGCCACTTGGGGAGTCAATCAGTGGACAGAAGATGTACCTCTCAGTCTCTCTACCTTTTCTATATCTGACTCCCCAATAAAAATAAATGAATCTTTTAAAAGAGGGGGGATAAGTTCTTTGGGTAGAGAAATTGCTCCTACAGACTCTTTAAATAAAGGAGCCATGTCAGCATGAAGTCAGCATGAATGTGGGAAAAGGACAGATTTTTAGAACAAGTAATAATGGAATTCACAGTTCGTGCTTCTTGTCAGGAGACCCAAGAGTATCCCAGTAATGCGCACGCACGTGTGTGTGTGTGTGTGAATTGTTAGCATGCTCTACATTCCTAGGTATCATGTTGGCTTTTGGAAAATGTTAAAATTTTCCTCTCCTTAGATGAAATACAAAACTTGAGGCTTAATATTCCAAGTTAGAAGAAAATATGATTAACTTCCAAACTAGAACAATGTACAATAGAGCAGGGTTTATGGAAATAATTACTAAGTTGAAAACAGGCCACTGTAACTGAACAACTGGAGGAGTAATAGCTTCCATTCAAATAAATATGTAAGTGTTCAAAATGACAACTTGAGGAATGTGTGAAGTTCTCAAAAAAAAGTAAGAGTTCAGTGCTGTAAAACAGCAAAACAAAGACCATGACACTTACATTCTGCCAGCATTCCTACTGCCTTACACTTCCTCAGTCTGCACTCTTGACATTTTCTACGCATGTACATGTCCATTTCACAGTTACCACCATTTTTGCAACTGTATACTGCATTTTTGGTGATGCTACGTCGGAAGAAACCTATTAACAAAGTTTGAAAATTTTTACCATGGATATTTTTAGTAACCTCAAATTTTCATTAGTATGTACTTACACAGTAGAATTAAGTGGTCAAGTTACCAAAATTAATTCCGTAATATGACTTTTCCCTCAATGAGAAGGTTTGGTTTAATAGACATTTGCCTCAATGATTGTCTTAACCCTTTAGTAGTAGGCATTTTCTATTCAAAGTTCCTTCCTTTTAATATTCCATCTGGAACTTAAAACACATAGCTCCATCTACCTAAAGACAGCTCAATTTTGCCTTGACTGTAATATGTCATCTAAAAATATTTATAAATTAGATTTTTACAAACGATCATGTTCCCATGAAACTTCTTGCAAAGTATTTGTGACAAAGTAAATAGCATCATAAGAAAAACATCACTTCAGCTCATGTTTCCACCTCAGCTCATAAAGGAATAAATATTCTTCCAACCATATTCGTCTGTCCCTTCCCCACTGACATCTCTACCGCAGAGAAGAAAGCGCTGCTAGCTTGTTCAGTCTGAAACAATGGTTGGCAGGAGAAAGAAGGCTTCACTTCTCTTTTTTGCTTGTCAGTCCAACCACAGTTTTTCTTCCCACTCCTCCCTCAGATCCTACACTCTGCAATAATCCCTACTGTCACTCTCTCCTTCCATTCTAAACTGTGATAACTCAGCCAACGCCATGCTTAAAGTTCGTCATCTCTTTTTCTACAGACACTTGACAGTAGGGATTCATGACTTACAGTCAACAAAGGGAGTAAAAGCCTCACTCTAAGATTCAAGCTCTATTCCTCATTCTCTAACCTAGTTTTCGTAGAAAAGCCCCTGCAATTCAATAGTAAGGAGATGCTCATCCATTTATTCTATTTTACAGGAACATTGCCTCATATCCTGTGGCCTTCATTTGGCCACTTTTTGTGGATATTCATTTTGGTTCTTCTTTGGCAGGGGGGAGTTGTAAAAATCTTATAGCACAACTTCACCCTGCACCTCACCCTGAACACCTTTCCCTAGTAACTATATTGGTCCTAATCATGTACAGGTGCTGTCCAACACTTTTGTTTTAATTTTGTGAATTAAAACAAAACCCAGAGTATTTTAAAATTTCAGAACTTTAAAAGAGACTGATTTATTCTTTGAAGCAAGCATTGTCAATTATATTCCACATTCAGACTTTCTTTTTGCTTTTTAAAAAATATTTAAAAGGTAGAATCTTAGAAGCCCCATAATGCAAATTCCCTTCAAATGTGTGAGTTTTATCAATCACATAAAATATGTAATAGCTAATACTCAAATATTTTCGAAACATTATTTTCCATTCCATCACATTCATCTATAAATGTGGAAACCTCTATTGCAGAACATAAAATTTTATGTTTAAATGTTAAAGCCCTCAACAAAAACTAAAAACAATCTAAATTTTACATTTTTATGTCTCTAAAATCACAGATTAATCCCTTTAAACATCATGGCTCTCCTTGGTTAATTTGGCAGACTTTATAAAGGAAGAGAACTCTGAAGTGCCAGAAACCCCACAGCTTTGGTGAACACCAAGATTTCATTTGATTTTAACTTCATCCTTACCTTTGCAACCTTCACAAGTAAGTGCGTTATAATGATATCCTGATGCTTTATCTCCACAAACTACACAAAGTTCTTCTGGTCCCCTAATTCGCAAGGAAGAATAAGTTGATCTAGACCTTTTTATTCCAAGGTATCCGTCTTCAGGATCATGAGCAGTCATGTAAGTGGGCTTGTTTGATTCATAGAAACCAAGTGCACATTGTCCCTCACCATTGCACTGCGGATCCAAGCTACAAGTGTTGAAATGACTTTGTAAAGACTGAGGCTGAAAAGCTGGAGGAAATTGAGTTGTAGAATACTGACAATAAGGTGATTCTTGGAAATCAGGATTGTGAAACTGATAATTGATTTGCTCTGGCCAAATATCTGGAGTTTTAAACAAAACAAACAAACAAAAAACCAAATGTAAAAAGCCAAGATTTCATAATCGCTTTCAAATCTTAAAGTGTTATACCCAACCATTCATTCAACATGTCCACTATATCTTAGGGGCTATCCAGCCAAATCATGGGCAGACAGAACACTGGGCCGCCATTTTGTGATAAATGCTGCCATCCCAGAAAAACACAGTGGTCTCTGAAGAGCTGGCACAAAGGACAGTGGTTGCCAATAGCTTACATGCCAATCCAACCTTAAGAAGAAATTAGTATTTCCCAAAGTTTGGAATGGAAAAATATTTTCCCCATCTTCTACACTTTCCTTGATATAAATTAACTGTTTTCAGTGCATTCAGGTCAGAAACTATCTGTCCTCATAAGGTATCCCACTACCCTCCCCTGAAAAGAATCAGCTAAAATACACTGTTACCAATGACCTTATTATTTCAAATATAGACAGTATTTTTGCCTGAACTCCTTACTTACTATAACTTAACACTCCCTTTTGTCTTATTGAAATTACTAGATCCTTCACCGTTGTTGCTTAACTGGGATAAATTTAGCTATCTCATAAGACTATTGTAGAAATGAAATATGATCCTTAAAAACACTTATAAACTCGGGAATGATTCATTACATGCATCATATTATTAGAAGCTCCCAAACACAAACTTCCTCTTTTCAGGAGTATTACTGAGTTGACTTCAGATGGCCCTATGAATATTTAGTTGTTCTATATATGCAACAAATATTATCTGTACTTTTCCTACTAAACTTTCAGGTGATTTGACTATGCTTAAAGTAAAAATTCTAAGAAAGAAAGAAAGAAAGAAAGAAAGAAAGAGAGAAAGAAAGAAAGAAAGAAAGAAAGAAAGAAAGAAAGAAAGAAAGAAAGAAAGAAAGAAAGAAAGAAAGAAAGAAAGAAAAGAAAAATTCTATCTCTAGGTAAACAGCATAATTTTTATTAATTCACATAAATTATTTGCAATCTTAATAACATTCAGCAGAATGACAAGTGCAGTAGAAATGACAGCAGAAAAAGAAAAGTTATTAGTTAAACAGTGTAGTTATTTTCAAAAAGAAAAGAAGAAAATTTTGGGTGATGGTCAAGACCTCAATTTTCTCGCCCCAGAACAAAATGACTGATATTCCACTGGCATGGAAAAATCAAGAGTTCAAACTTTAAGAAAACTGTATGCAAGATTAAATTTACATTATAGTCTAACTCTTAATAAAAACTTTATTATTTCCTTCATTCTCTTTTCTATCGCCTTCCTTACGTAAGAATCTTACATGAAAATTAAAATTTGAAGTATCTTGAATAGCTACTGCAAACTATACCAAACTGTAGAAAAACAAAGCTTCAGTTAACCCCTAAAATTAACTTCAAATTTGCATGCTAATTCTGTTTTGAAAATTGAAAGCATTTTAAAATTTTTGTATATTTTTCTTATTTTTTATGTGATTTTCTTAATATCTGACTACATCTTACAATATTTTAGTATTACTGATTTTTAAAATTATTTTTTGTACAGAACAATTTGCTGTGTTTTCTTTACTTTTATTTAATCTTTGTGATTAACCATAATTTCCTGACACAAAAAAGTAGCATTGAGTAATTTACTGTCATTTTTTGATTACATACCATAGTACTGCACTTGTTCAGCAAAACAGTACCCATCAGATGCAGTGACATAAGTGTTTGCCATCCTCTGATACAAGTCTCACTGCTTCATTTACTTCAGTCAGTGCTGGATATTTCCAAATCAAACTTGAAGAGAATGAAATCTGTGTAGACTATTTGAAAGTATTAATATTAAGTCAGTGTGACTTCATAAAAGCACAATGCTGTTTTTTAAAAAAGTAAACGATTTAGCAAAGTTTACACAAAGATGTCTGTATTTAACTCTAATTGAAAAAAAGCGAAATTTCTGTAAATACCAAAGTATCCAGTATTGCCATTTTTCAATATTCAATTCTTTACAATGATCTTAATAAATCTTGGTAGAAATTATTGTGACTCTCAATTTGTGACTTTCTTAGTGTAATAGAAACGTAGGCCAGGGCCTGTAACAATGACTCAATGGCTAAATCCTGCCAGAATCCTGCACCAGAATCCTATATGATTTCTCTCCCCACAGAGGAAGCCTGAGCTGTATTCTGAGCTTTGGCTCTGGCTCAGCCACAGCCATTGCAGGTATCTAGGAAGGGAAACAGAGGATGGGAACTTACTCTCTCTGCCTCTCAAACAACAATTTTTAAGAAATGAATGAAGTAATTTTTTAAGAAACTGAGTTTTTAATCATAATGAATATATGCACAATAAACTTTCAAGATTCTGAGGTCATATTGAAAAACTTTGTACTTATTGTTACTCATAACACAAATTCATAGCTAAAACTCTGAAAATTTGTCAGAGTTTTATCACCTAATAGGATCTCAGGTTTTTTTTTTTTTTCAAAAAGCGCCTGAGTCTTCCATACCCTGGGAACATAGGAACAATCATATAAAATGTGTGTTGGAGAGAATAGATGAGTCAAATGCCATGTCCCCCAAATAACTGAGCTTTCAAAATAACTTCCCTTAAGAATTAGGGACTGTTGTCAAAAGGGCCATTTAGAACATACTTCTATTTTCGATATGTTACAACAGGTCAATTGGTTCTCCAGTGAAAGAGAATTATATGTGCTATCAGTTTAATCTGTGTAATTTTTTAAAGCAATATTTCTGTTTAGACCCTTCTAAGCTATTCTTTTGAGTCTCAGATTTTAGAAGATTACAAGTTAATGTTTTTTCTTTAACTTGAGGTTTTTTCTTTAACTTTGCTTCTGAAATTCCTTCGTTTACCATTAAGCTTCACACGATGTTAAATATGTAAAAAAATACTGAAAATAAAGACTGAAGTGTTGTTTAGCTATAGTTTTTGCTAAAAATGAGTAATTTGAAAATACGTCAGAGACAGTACATTAAGCAAAACTAGTAATGTCTTAATATATATCAATACTTTATATATCTGGCTCATAAATAGCAGTATTTCAGAATCAAGTCTTTCTATTACTAGCAAATAAATGGCCTACAATATTTTTAAAGCAGATTTTTATAATTTAAAAGTTCTTTTCAAGATGTGTTAAATTTTTTTTTAAGATTTATTTTTATTACTTTTTTATTGGAAAGGCAGATATACAGAGAGGAGAGACAGAGAGGAAGATCTTCCATCCGATGAAGATGTGTTAAATTTTATTGAAAACACAGATTCAGAGATATGGAGAGACAGAAAGATCTTTCCTCTGCTGGTTCACTCCCCAAGTGACTTCAATGGACAGAGCTGAACCAATCCCAAGCCAGGAACCAGGAGTCTCATCCCGGTCTCCCACGTGGGCCAGGGTCCCAAGGCCAGGGTCCCAGGGTCACAAGCAGGGAGCTGCATGGGATGCTGATCAGCCAGGACATGAACTGGCACCCATACGGGATCCTGGTATGCGCAATGAGATGGTTTTAGCCACTGAGCCATTGTGTTGGTCCCAAAGCAGTTTTTAAAGGTTTTTATTGATTTGAGAATTAGAGAGAAACAGAATAATATAAACAGTGCCCATCTGATACCTAGGGCTGGGCTCAGCCTAGGACTCCCACATGAATAGCTAGGACCCAACCATTTCACTCATAACCTACTACCTTCCTATGGTCTACATTAGCAGGAAGCTGAAGTAGGGAAAACTCAACTCTTAATATAGGATACAGGTGTCCCATCTGGTATCTTAACATCCAGGTCAAATGCTCATACTTGAAGTATACTCATTCTCACCAGCTGATTGTCTAGTTATCCTCCAGGGAATACATATAGAGGATTTAACAAGCCTCTGATAAAGTTATGCATCTAAAAATAGGTACTATTCGGGCCCAACGCAGTGGGCTAGTAATTGAAGTCCTCGCCTTGAACACACCAGGATCCCATATGGGCGCCAGTTCTAATCCCTACAGCCCACTGCCCTTACAGTTCCCTATCTGTGGCCTGGGAAAGCAGTGGAGGATGGCCCAAAGCCTTGGGACACTACACCCATGTGGGAGACCTAGAAGAAACCCCTGGTTCCTGACTTCGGATCAACTCAGCTCTGGCCATTGTGGCCGCTTGGGGAGTGAATCATCAGATGGAAGATGTTCCTCTCCTTCTCTCTGTATACCTGACTTTGCAATAAAAATAAAATAAATTTTTTAAAAAAGTAAAAATAAAAAAGGTACCATTTCCTTTATGTAATCATGGAAATACTTGCAATGCTTTTTAAATAAGATTTTTCACTACCTTTTTCTTCAGACTTTCAAATGTTTATTAAAAATGCACTATGTGTGCCTGATGAAACCAACCCTTCAAGTGTTCAGAAAATTAGTTTAAAAAACATTTAAGTAAATGATTCATAACACAGAGAAGTATGTAATCAAAAATTTCCTAGTCCGCTAAAGAGGAAATCTTCAGTGGTTCTGGAATGATTGTTTTGTTGTCCTCTTAGTAAATATTTGTTTAAAACAAAATAACTTTGCTAAAAGGGGAGCTGTTATCAAGAAGATTGATTTGGCATGAACAAAGTTGATGTCTTTTTCTTTAATGAATATAACTTCTGTGAAAACTGTACTTTTTACAAGGTGAAATGTTGATATAATATTGCTCAGTTCTACAAGTCATTTATATTTTCCCCACTTTAATTACAAATTGTTCCTAAAGTCTCCAGGGCTTTAAAAGAGATCACACGTTGAATCCTGAGAACTAAGCCTAAATGTGACAGAAGTTATGTTTTTTTTACATTTTCATTCTTGTAATATATGCCACTTGAATTACAAATAATGCCTCACATGAAATTGATATAACTGAAAAACAGATTGCCTTAGGGGGAAAAATCATTTTCTTTTCCATAGCAGACTTTATGGGCAGAATGATAAAATTAGGCTTTGTAAAGCGTAATAATACTGGTATAGGACATTAATCATAAAAGGCTTTACATGACATGGCTCCTTTGAAAATGTGAATAAAAACACAAATCAAGGCTTCTTGATTCCTTTCTGTCTTTTAGCTTTAGAATATAGGAAGAAATATGAAATCTGTTTTTACAGTAGCTTTCATGATATAAATCACATAACATATTTACTCTTTTAAAGTGTATAATAAGGAATAGTCACACCGTTTGCGATTGTCACAGCTATCTCAGCTCAGAGCATTTTAACCGCTCTAAAAGCAAATCCCAAAGCAATCAGCAGTCACTTCCCTCTCCTCTCCCCATCCCTCAGCGACCACGACTGCACTGCCTGTCTCTGTGGGTTTGCCTATCTCAGACACCTCATATAAACTGAATCATCTGCTTTCATACATAATTGCAAATGAAAAAGTTCATTATTTAATATATTTTGTGTAATCATTCTTGCATTTTAAGGATAATGTAAGCTAGATTAATGTTTAGAAAATTCATGAGTATGAAACCAACATTTTATATGTTATATATGTATATACGTATGTGTGTGTGTATAGTGCGGCGTAATTTTCATAATTATAACATTATCAAAAAAATAATAATTCCATAAATACACATTTATCAGAATATATTTCATTTAAATTTAAATATTTTAATTTAAATGAAACATTAAATTTCATTCAATTTAAATATGCAATTTTAAATAGAACCTATTGTTTGAAAACCATATTTTATTCTAAGTTCTTGATTTAAAAATAAGTTTCACTGAACCAGTACAACAGTAAATAATCACTGTGACGCAACTTACAGAATTCTAGCAAATGTCAACTAATGTCCAACTATGCCTGGACATTGTCCAGAAGGGAACTAATTTACTATATAATCTACTTTACTTAGTGAAATGTCTTATTTTCAAGGGGAAAAATGTTTACCGCTGGCTCTCATAATAGCAACAACTAGCTTACTCACTTTTCAAAAGTTAGTTAATGATGTTGTAAATAAAAGATCTCAACAAAACCCTTTTCATTAACATCTGACAGCTGAGTAATAGGTGAAATTGCTGACAAACTTAACACTCATTTTTAATTTAGACAGCACAAAATTGTAAAATTTTCATAAAGACACTGAAACACTCACCTTTAGGTGATTTTTGTGGATGGTCCTTTTCCTCACAGAAGGAGCATGCATAGACTTAGCAATCACTTGAACCTTCCAGCTGGAGCAAACTGGGCCTTCTCTGTCTTTATCAAGGCCTGGGGAGTCACTCTGCATACGCTTAGGCTCCAGACACTCTGCAGAGCAGTGCTTCCGCTCTATCTCAGAGACGCACTTCCCACACAATCCTCTCTTGGGTCAAAACAAGGGCAATTTCAGGCTGACATCCATCAAACAATAAGCAGATCATCAGGCATTGAGGCCTTTAGAAGCCTCAGGTCACACTCTTTCCCAGAGTTCCTTACTGTTTAGTTAACAAATATTTTGTTTTCTTTATTGAATTTGACATCCTTCTACTTGGTTACAAAACACAAACTAATGAGTAATATATACAGGAAAGGGGAGGGGAACTTCTTATTAGCTGAAATTCCATATATACAGATTTTCTGAAAACTCAGCTTTAAGTTCACCTTTGTATTATTTACAGAAATATGAAAGTGGCTAAGCCAATGAGAAATGTTAAGAATAATTCATAAATGATATCATCTTAGATGTGGACAAGCTGTCGAATATAACTTCCTCCTTTTTATCAGCCAAGA